CGGGGTGCTCGGTGACTCTCCCCTCCACAGTCCCAGTCGGCTCACACCACCCTTTATAATTGGATTTTTTAATTCCGTTGCCTCCATCTGGGGCTCCAAAGGTTTTTCGGGGGTTTGGGAACGCGGTGAGCGGCCGCTGCGTTGGGTGTCTGCCCGGATAATGCTCTGGCTGCTCTGCTCACCACTGCTCCACACCAGGAACAGCCGCAGCAGCTGAGGCAGCACCCAAAGTAAAACTGGCTGGTTGGTCCCGACCTGGCGGTGTTTGGGGTGTCCTTGATGACTCGGATCAGGGCAGGGTTTGGGGGGATCCTTACTCTAAGCCTGGAGCTCCAGAAGTGCTTTGTGATGCTGTAGGGATGGGCTGAGATCAATCTCCAGGGCTGCCCCGATCCCATGGGGAAGGAGATGGGTTTTCTGCATCAGTTTTGGGGGAATCGCAGCCATTTTGTGGAGCAGCCACACAGCCAAGTGTGAACCAGCCCATCAACATCTCCAGGTGCTTTTTACCTCCAGGAGCTCCCGTCAAGCCATTGCAAATGACCCAAAGGCTTTTCAAATGACTTGCTTTTCTCATGCCAGCTGCTCCCCACAAGAACATCTGCTCCACACCGTCCTGGGCACGTCACCATGAGCCACTGAAGCGGAAAGGGCAGAGGGACGGTGGCACTTGCTTGTCCCCAGAGAGGGTTATGGCTTCAGGTGGAGCAGCAGCAGTAGTTGGCTTTTAAGGATCAATTCTGCTCTGTCTGTGGAAAGGAAAAAGCTTTGGGATAGAAACTGGAAAAGAATTAGCACCGGTCACTCCATGATGCCTGAGCGTTGGATTTGTTGAGAAGAGCAGCATCATGGACCCAACCACTCCCAGATCCTCCAGCCTGGACATGGGAAAGACATTACCCGTGCTGCGACCACCCTGGCTGCACCCAAAGAGCTTCGCTGCCAAAACACATCCCATTAACCCCAGTTTGTGAGCGAGGACATGGCCACAGAGATCAAATCTTCCCACCAAGAGCTGCCTCTGCACCTGGGAGTGAGGGCACAGGAGGTGCCACGTCCCTGAGGGTGTCTCAACCTTGTTATAGTTATTGCAGTGGAGAAATTGTGACTTGAAGCCTGGAAAAGAAAGTGGAGCTGCTGAAAAACACGGCAGGTGGGCAGCAGACCCTCGTTGTTATGAGACACGTTTGTGTCATCACGTGGATGTTAAGAGTGGAGCCCAAATTCATCCTGGATGTTTTCCCATCGCTGTCAGCTCAGGGAAAAGGTCCCATGTTTAGTGGCATCCCACTGGAAAAACCCCCTAGGCCAGGGGTTTGCTTGGTCTTGGGGTTCAAGGTCATCCCACACCCCTGACCTTCCCTGCGGGAAGTGTTGCCAGGGCTGAACCTGGATAGCTGGCAAATGAAATCCTGTCCTTTCTCCCCCACAAAACCCCAGGGAAAAGGGAATCACAGAATAGTTTGGTTGGAAAAGACCATTATGATCATCTAGTCCAACCACAAACCCAGCATTGCCAAGTCCACCACTAAACCATGTCCCCAAGTGCCACGTCTACACATCCTTTAAATCCCTCCAGGGATGGGGACTCCACCACTGCCCTGGGCAACCCCTTCCAATGCCTCAGAACCCTTGCAGCAAAGAAATTCTTCCTCACATCCCATCTCAACTGCCCTGGCCACAACTGGAGCCCATTTCCTCTTGTCCTGTCCCTTGGGCCTTGGTTGAACAGACCCACCCCCACCTCTCTCCACCCTCCTCCAAGGGACTTGCACAGAGCCACAAGGTCTCCCCTCAGCCTCCTTTTCTCCAGGCTCAACACCCCCAGTTCCCTCAGCCAGGAACTCAGCACACTTGTTCTCTAGGAAGGAAGGGTTTGGGGTGCTGGCAAAGCTCAGCATCCTCAAGATCACTACTCACCATCGTGGTGGTGCAGACAGGCCAGTCCTCAAAAAGCTGGACAACATCTGGAGCTGCGTGTGAGTAGCCCAGGAGGGGTGGGAAGGGATTCACAATTCACAGCATCTCCCTCCTCTCACGACGAGCAAATTCAGGCATCAAAGAGAAAAATGATGATTTCTCCTGCTGTTTTGGGGCTCCCTGTAACCAACACCTTGTTTCTGCCGTGGTGTGTGCTGTCCTGGCCAAGCTGAGACAAAACCAGGATCTTCTCACAAGCCACCAGGATGAGGAAGTGAGTGGAGATCTCGGAAACGTGCCTGCCCTCGGGGGGAGCACGGGGCTGTCCCAGCACTGTGGGTCTCCATCTGCTGAAAATCGTGCTCCTCAAAAGCACATCAGCCAGCAAACCTCACTTCATGCCCCAGGTACCTCCAGGGAAGTGAGAGTCAAAGGCTCGGGGTGCAGCAGAGCCACAGCGTGGGATGGAGACACGCGGAGCGCCGGGATTAACCCCGACACCCAGAAAAAGAGCCACTAATTCACAGCTGAAAGCTCTGTCCTGTGAAAACAACCCCCAGTGACAGCCCCAGGGGGGACACTTGTCCTGAGCCCGGACAAACTACCCTCAATGGTGCCAAAATCAGCCTCACCACATCATCTCAGCACCTGTTTTGTGGCTCAGCACCTTTCAGAGTCATAGAATGGCCCAGATTGGAAAAGCCCTTGAAGCTCATGGAGTCCAACCGTGAACCCAACACTGACCAGTCCCCTATGACTAACCCATGTCCCTCAGCACTGTGTCTACACGACTCTTCAGTCCCTCCAGGGATGGGGACTCCACCACTGCCCTGGGCAACCCCTTCCAAGGCCTCAGAACCCTTGCAGCAAAGAAATTCTTCCTCACATCCCATCTCAACTGCCCTGGCCACAACTGGAGCCCATTTCCTCTTGTCCTGTCCCTTGGGCCTTGGTTGAACAGACCCACCCCCACCTCTCTCCACCCTCCTCCAAGGGACTTGCACAGAGCCACAAGGTCTCCCCTCAGCCTCCTTGTCTCTCTTTGTGTCACCTCCCTCATTTCAAGCAAAAGCTGCTCAGCGCTACCTGTGCTGATACAAACGCAGCTGTAAAGTCAAAGCTCAGGGCAGATGAAAGTTGAACCTTTTTCAGCACATAAATATTCCCAATAAAAGGAATTAATTGAAACCTCTACCCAGAGGAGGGATGTCCCAGAGGAGGGATGTCCCAGAGGAGGGATGTCCCAGAGGATGGCACAGGCAGGAGGAGCTGCCCAGCCTGGCCTGTTCCCAGGACTCACGGGATGAATTCTTCCCTGCTGGCACAAGGCTGCTTTGTCCCTCCAGGCCTTCACGGCGAGAGAAATCAACCCTGGACAAAAGCAGTCGAGGGCTGGACTGCAACCAAAGCTGCTTTAGGAAGGGACACGCGCAGTGAAGTCAGGAAAGAACAAAAAACTTTTATTCAACAGCAACAAAACCAGGAAAACATCCCCGCAGTCTGCTCCAGTCTGAACCAGTTCCCCATGCCCATGGGGCTGCTCCTCTTCCCACCCCACAGC